GTTAGGATCCTGATATGGTCAGAGTCACAGCAAATGACCTTTCTTGGTCCCCATCTCGTCCTCATCGATTTTCCGATGCCTTCCATCCCGTGGTAGGGGGAAGCATCGAGGTCTTGTTACCATTGTAGGCCCAGACCTGGTCGCCACCCGCCTGCGGATGAGAAACGAGGACCGGATGAGGTCGCCATGCGCGGGAAACATGGGTCCAAAACATACAGTTTCAATACAAATAATGTATTATAACTATAATCATAAGAGAAAAGAATGCATGCTGCTTACAAGAAGAGCTTGAATGAATGAGTGAACCCATGCAAAGTCGTAAGTACCCCTTGCAGTCCAACTTCTAAACGAAACGAGGATCCCTCCAAATCTGACTTCCTCACGTTTCTGCATTTATCAGCTCCACGTTTTCACATCCAAATCTCCCAGCTGCATCGGTTCTCAAACCCGTCGAGTTGGAGAAAACACCCCTTTTGGCGCGCAATGTGGTGGCCCCAATTTGTCCTGATTAGCCGGTGAGCAAACTGACTAATTGGGGCGCCTTGTTTCATCTTTTTGCACTTCGAGGAGCCCTTTTTGTGCATCAGTGAGCGGTTTCCAGTCGACCGATCCTTGCAGGGCTCACCTTGGGACCAAACCACCAGCCATGAAAGTTTGGCCCATCCCGCTCGTCCCAGTAGTAAATCAGCACCTCAAGCAAACAAGCCAAGCATTGGCACGAATGAAGTCTGAGGCGCAAATGCTGGAGGGTGGCTGAGGTGCCATCGGCCAGAATGCCACCCACAGACAGATTGAAGTTAGGACAACTGTGGAAGAGTCGCCGATCCGGAAAAGAATTCCAGGCCATCTGGTTCCTATTCCAGGCCTTGCTTTTCACGTGTCACCTTAACGACACCTAGGCCGCCCAAGCAGCTCTATCAGCGATCAGTTGGGTCGGAACAGGCTTCCCTCAGCACTGGGACCCCGGCTGACACGTTGCCAAAAGAGCCTTCCTGGACGGCCGATCACTGGGTCGGCCGTGTTTGGACGATTTCTCGTGTAATCATTCCAACTGGAATGCACCCACCCAAACACTTGGGTTTGTCAGGTAAGGGGAGACAATGGGGGTGACATTGTTAGTTTGGGTAGCCCGAAGCAACCCAAAACCCATGAATGTTGCTTCTGCAGCTGTAGCCAGCACGGCTCTTTGAATCATGGAGTAATCATTCGATCATCGATATGTAATCGAACGTGTTGCCAAGGTTGTCTCATGTCTTGACTGAAAAGTACCACAGAAAATGAAGTGCATGAAACCGGTGCATGCAAAGCTCTTTCCAGCTTCAGCATTCCACCGTTGCCAGGTCATTGGCCGTTGGCAAAAAATGGCGAGTTTCTTGGTTCCAAAATACTCTTGGGATGTGTCAACCCCTGCTTTTTCACGGCCCTAAAAAAAAAGCCCATGCCATCCCATGCCATATGAACCACTATACAGGGGAAGGTTCAGGTCTCGAGAGACCTCCCTTGAAGTGGAAAGAACTGGTCTCTCGCTGTCCCATCGAGTGGTCACTGTCCCATCGGGGAGTCGATTCAGATCCTTCTGGTAGATCGGCTTGTCGTGCGATTTCTCACCATTCGGCGTGTAGGACCTGGGCCGCTGGTTCATTTAAAACAACAACAACAACAACAACAACAACAACAACAACACGGATGGGACGGCTGTCAATGACACGAACTTCAGCTTGGACAGTCTTGGACTGGCATGTGCCATGAAAGGACGCCTGCCCTGGCAGTCCTGCCTACATCAGCCTCCTGACATCTCACCTATAGTGCTTCATGGGACTAATGTCAGTTCTTGCCCTTGCTTGCCTCGCACGGGATCAAACCTTCTCAAGTGCAAGCCGGAGGCCCCTTGATGATGTTGGCGATGGTAACATTTTGGCAGCCACCTGGGATGACGAGTCTCAACAGTTGTTTCAGGGTCCTGTGAGGACTTGAACTCTTTCTCCAGTGACCCGAGCACATGTGCCAACAATCGAGACAGCATGAAACAGTAGTCAGTAGTGCATTATGGAGCTTTGACCCAACAACAAATGAAGTATATGTTTTCGGGGTCCGTCCCAGCGACTGCAACAGCCCGTGCCCCTTGTGGTCAAGGAAGGTCTTCCAACGCCAACAGGAAGTCCATGGATTTGACCCATTCAGTGCTTTCGCATAGCTCAAGTTCTTCTTTCCAATAGATTGTTTGCCTCAAGTACACCCCTCACCCCGTCACATCCCACAAACAGGTAGTGTGGGAAGGTGATCAAAACCCTGCAAATACAGATGACAAACGCCATCGAACCCTGACCACTCGCGTGGGGTCAGCGAATTGGTTCTGCGGGGGGGCTTTGGGCTTTCTCGCAGTTCTGGCAGCGTTCCCCGCCAGAAACGTCCGAAACGTCGGAAGCACCAAAACAGAACGGCCGTCATTGTGCCCTGACCAGCCCCTGACCGACCGTCAAGACCTCCATGGGGTTTTCACCATTTTGTGTCCGCTTTCCAACGGTTTTCGCAACGAAAAAAAGGCCCCAAAAGCCCGTGGAAAACTCCGTTCGTTTGAATGTTTTGCTTCAAACCAACTACCATGTTGATGTTCCGTTTGTCCAAGTAAGTACCCGTCCTTGAAATTGAAACAAAACATTGATATCTCTGTCAAATGTATTTTTGAACATCAATCAACATGTTGATTTTAGATCTGTATATCTACAAGTAAAGTTTCTTTTTAATCATGGTGAAGGTATCAACTTCAACTAGAACATTGATGGTTGGTGTCCAATTAAATCCCTTGTAAACTCCTTTCAATACCAGTTCGGGTCAGAATTCGTTTGGTTTGGGATGTGTCCTTGTAAAAACTACTTCTGGGTTCTTTTGAAAGGTTTCCAAGGAAACAAGGGACATTGGAAGGCCAACAGCATGGCCCGCAAGAGTCAGAATCTGACTGGGTTGGGAGGAAACAGGGCGCCTCCCTTTGCAAAGAACACACAAACCGTTAAAGAAACTCAATATTTGACCATGGGGTGGCCAGCAAGATGTCTACGTTGGAATTGCTCCTCTCACTGTACCCTATTGTACCCTCGGGTGGTCTACAAAAGGTCTGCTATGGCCCTGGCCTTCCTGCTCCAAACTTTACAGTACCCTTGAGTGGCCCACAAAACGGAATTGCAACTTCATGCTTTAAAACTACCAGCCCACAAAAGGTGTGCTCCCAAGTTGGAAGTGCTCCTTACCTTCCCCTTTTTCCTGCTTCGTCTTTCTTCCTTATGTCTTTCTTTTCTTTTTTTTCTTTTCTTGTCTTGTCTTTTCTTTTCTTTCTTTCTTCTTCCTTTGGTCCAGGGCCACAGCATATTGCTTTTTTGGTTGGGGGCCATTTCCTTTTCCATAGAAGGGAAAAAAATGTAAGCACAGGTCATGGTCAACCTGTGCATTTCGACTTCTCCCTATCTCTGTACGTTGATCAAAATGATCAAAAGCCCACAGCACCAAAGTTCGGCAGCTATGGGCACCCATCCGGCACTGCTTGAGGGGTGCGGCCCCTTGCCCTTCCACCGACTGCAGCCCGCGTGGCTCACCGTGATAGGCGGCAGCACCGGCGCCTTGCTCGCGGCCCCCGCAAAGCCCGCAGGGCCGCAGGGCCCTTGCGGGCCCGCGGGCCGGGGCGCGATCGGCGCTGCGGTGGTGCGGCCCGCCGGCCTTGCGGTGGTGCGGATCGGATCGGAAGGTGAGGAGGTGCCGCAAGAAATGCCCGTCCGGTCTACAAGATCGTTGCGCTAGAATTGTCGTGGACGGTGGTTAGTGGTGGCAAGAGGATTGGGAAGTGCAACTTGAACTACAGTATCTTGAACTGATGTCGACTACAGTGGTTCTCCGTTCTCCACCTTTTCCCATAACTATCACCTTCAATACACCACTGCTAAATCACCAATGAGCGCAAACTCCGCCCCATAAGCGCGTCCTGGGCTGTACAGGCCGTGGTTGGATAATGGCAGGAACCTGGGCGTTGCGCAAAATTTGAGGGACAGACCAGGTTGGCCCTTGAAGCGACTGAGACTGGCGGGCGTGGTGAGACCCCCCATGTCTAAATGGGCAACTCCGTCTTCGAAGTCAAAAACTGTCGGCCTGGTTACAAAATTCAGAAACGTTGGAATAGGTCTAGGCTAGGCAGAAGTCGTTTCAATGTGGCATTAGTAGATTGCTGCAATATGTGCCACCGAGCTGCTCCAGCCTTTCCTCCTTTGCCTTTCCCCTTTATCCACGACATGGCTGGTCGTCTTCAGTTCGTTTCGCGGTCAACTCTTGTGGTGCTGGTTTGTCAGATGCTTTTCCCAAACTTTGACCCCTGACAAACAGCTCGAGATGCTGCAGCCTGAGCTCTAGCTTAGTAGCTCGAAAGCTCAGAAGCTCCAGTTTGATGCGCCCAACTCGTGTGATGTCATGGTCTTCTGGGCCCAACGAAGTTGAAGTGATTCTCTGGTGCCTCTCGGATCCCTCGAGAAAACCTTGGGGGGAAAAAGACTCCAAGGTAAACTCCACTCGGCAAAACGTGTGTTTTATTGCTCTCTTTTTCTCCGCGCATAGAGACACTCAAATCCCCCCGCAGCCGTTGCTGAAAGCCATGCAGCCGTCGCAGTCCGGTCGCGGCAACAAGAGGTCTTTTTCAAAAACATACTGCACGCGTGCTTGCGAATCAACCACAAATGGCCAAATCGAGAAATGCTAGAGGAATAAAGTTGGTCACTAGGGCAGCATTGGCCACTGAGGTTCATGGAATTTCTGGTAGCGCAAACTCTAAACTGTGTGCCTCTTGATGTGTTTTCGTTCTGTGACATGTCCGTGCCCATGTACGTGGAGTACGTGACTCGAATTCGGACCTGATTCCGTCATCACTGGGGTCGGAGTCCTATCGATCCCAGACAAGTCCTGGCCGTCTGAGGGCGCCCGGTCTCCGCGATCGCGCGGTCTCCGCGCGGTCGGAGGAAGCACACCTTCCACATTGATGTCGCGCAGCTCATCCTTCAGTGGAATGCTGAAGAAAGTTCTGTGATGAGTCGATGGGATTCCAAGCGGATCAGTCTTTGAGGAGAACAACGCTTTGCCAATGGATGAGAGGCATAAGCAACATGATACAACATGGGGTTGCCAGATTCTTTGCATCAAAACTGCCCACCTAGGTCGGCCCACCCCACTGGAAGCCCCCGGTAAGCTCACTGAGTACCTTAAAAACCCACCGCCCGAAGGCTTTTGAGTGGCTTATAGGGGCGAAGGAAGAAAACATGAACCCCTCTCCAGGTTTTTCCAGGTGCGTCCGCTCACGAAGGAGCTTCCTGGAAGAAGCGTTTCTCTATCCGTCTGATGTTCATTTCATGTGTTTTTCTATGCTTTGTTCATTCTTGTTTTAAGGAGCCAAGAAAGAACCCCAAACACGATCTGTCTGAGACTGGCCGATTGACCGATCAGTTAAGGATGTGAAGGTAGTTGAAAAGGGGTTGAAAAGGGGAGGGCATTCATCCCTTGTGTGGAGCCCCTGGGAATAACCATCAATAACCTTCCAAGTCAAGGCCAACAGTTGAAAAATAACTTTGTTTAAATGTCCAGTTTTTGTCAACCCGCGTTTGAGGTAGAAGCAGGACACCGTTGGCTCTATGGCCTCCAAAATCACCAAGGGTTCGGGCAAAACAAGGACTAGATTTAGACTGAATCAAAGCTCAGAGCAGGTCATTAGATCTAAAAAGATCTAAACTAAGGAGATTCTGTCGCGTGCGCGCGAGCCACCGAAGGCTTCGGTTGTGGCCCGCCCTCTCCTCGCAAGGCTTTGGCCTCAAAAGCGGATTCGGATCGTTGGGTGCTCGGGACTGGGCGATGTTCGGCAGAATCCGGATGTGAAAAAACGCCCTTGATGCAACGTACTACAATAGCAGTATCCCAAACCAATGGATGTACATTGATGTTCCTTATGACAGGGATGTGTTGCTTTTGCGATCTTTGGGAGGACTTGCAGAATGAACCACTAGACTCGCTCTTCAACCAAAAGCCAAGTTCTTAGCTCCACTGGATGTCCTTTGATCAAGTTGCTCAAAGGCAGGCTTCTTGGCCCAAGTGGCGCGTACAGGGTCTTACAGATCAGATCACTCCATTCCACCGGTGCACTGCGGATCCGCCCTGCGGGATGCCCTTTTGCGGGATCGCCATCGACGGAGGATCGCCATCTGTGTGGCCAAAAAAATCCGGAGGAACATCGGATCTCAGGGGTTCTCGAAATCACGCTGGGGCCACTGGCTGGCAAGAGTTTCCATCAAACACCAACTGGCCAAGGAAGCACTTGGTGGTGATCTCCTTGGTGCGATTGAGCATCGCGCAGCAGGAGATGGGAGATGGTGCGAGAACCCCAACAACCCTGAGCGGGTGGTCTCTCTCCAAGGTGGGCGCTCAAATGTTTCCTAGCAATGGAATCGTGTAGAGTGATGATTGATTCTCTAGAAATGTGGTGCTTGCATCATCAATATGATCTCTTTGGATCTCTTTGGCACATATACTATCTGACTATCTGTACGGACCAGTCCTCCCGGCGGTTCTCGCCCGCGGATCCGGTTTTCACCCTGGACCGGTGAGGCTTCTGGACCTCTCAGAAGGGCATGGCATGTGCACAGCCCTCGGAGGGGCCACACGTTGAGAATCTTTAAGACATGCCAGGCTCCCATGCCAGGCTCCTTCCTGCGCTCCAAATGACATCCAAATTTAGATGATGGGGACAGCAAACTTCTCAGAACGGGTGTGTCTTAAAGCGAGAGCTCTGGTTGCACTTCTCCTTGGATCTTGCAGACCACTAGCGCAGAACCATAGGGCCAGGGGCACCCAGATCATCTTCGAACAATTCTCACCCTGCCAAGCTTCTCCAGAGTAGCCGGCATTCACGTCTCCACACGGGCCGGCACTGAATGTCTCGTCGTGCACCAAATCCTGCGATTGACCCCATTTTTGCACCTTAAAGTCCTAGTCTGGTGAACGTCAGCCACTAAGCACTCCCAGAAAAACAAAAGAACACAACACAACAGGGCTGCCAAGCAATGGGACTAGCAGTTGTTTGCAGCCACAAGGCTCCGGGAAGGCTTGTTGAGCAACCCTTCGTCCACCTGCACAGCCCGTAAAGAAACCCCAGAACGGATCCGAATCCATAGAAAAGACATGAAAAGACATGCTGCCAACCATCCCCAAAAAACCTGAAGCGCCAAATCCTGCAGACTTGGGCGTTTCACCCACCCCCCATGGTGCCGTCTTCCGCCCTCAGTGAAGCTCGGCTTCGCTCGCCCCCTCGGAGCCGGCTCCGGGTCCTTCGGAGCAGCGACGTCCTTCACCACGCCGCCAATCACGGCCTCCGCGGTTCCGGCGTGGCACGACCGCACGCACGGCCGGGAACGGCTGGCGCAGCAGGTTTGAGAGGGACGGCCCTCCGAAACTGGCCTTTCAGCCGATTTGGGTGACCGGGGTGCGAGTCACCTCCGGGTGGTCTTGATCTGCGCGGTGTATCTTCCAGGGATCTCGGGTTTCAGTCTGCTAATGGCCCACCTCCGCGGGTGCAGTCTGGGTAGTGCATCCCTGCCTCAGCTTGCAGCAGCCAATGATGGATGAGACTCTGAGAGAACAAACTTGTTTCAGTGCAACACATGCCATCATGTGTCACACATGAAAATTCTGACAGCAAAGATCAGCAAAGCTTGTGCCCCTTGAAAGCCCGACATAATGCCAGAAGCATCCAACAGCATAGCTGGCCAATCGCCACCTATGTCCACTCACACTGATCCTCTTGGCCTCTGCAAACTCTTTGCTGTCGTCCGAGATGCGGAGAGCATCCCGTCGTGTCTGGCTTCAGCACACCTTTTTCGACAATCGAGGGATTGTCTCACGCTCTTTTCATGATCTGCAAACATCTTTCTACTAGGAGCAAAGGGCATCGCTACTAGGAACAAGAATGCTACTAGGGGCTCCTGGCCGTACTACTAGGAGCAAGGACACTACTAGTAACAAAGGGCATCGCTACTACTAGGAACAAGAAGCGTCCACGTCTCCCCTACAAGTAGGTTCATTCGCTTCTCCCATTTTGCACCGCTTTCTTCACAGCTCGGCTCGCGCGAACGAGCGCGGGCCGATGCGAGATACGACACGTTGATAAGCCTGTGCGGCCCCACCTCCCGAGCAGGTGACGACCATGTTCCCCAGATGTCCCGGCACCACCTGGGTCAGATCGAGCTGGTCAACACGATTTCTCTCAAGGGCTGAAGGGGAGAGGTTCTTCTGAAAGGAGTCCCCATACAGTTTTGACCCCGGCCATCCAAAAAACGTTGCAAAAAGGAAGGCAACAGTTCAACACATGGGAGAAAATGGGGACAACTAAAACATTGAAAAACACACATGACAAACAACTGTGTTTTTGAGCGAGGACTAAACTGAGAGCTAACATGAGCCAACCTCATTTGGAGTCACAACCAGCTTAACTCGTAGTGGTTCGGCCGGCTAACCTCTGGGGCCCTCAACGGAGTCGCAGCTCACGCTGGCTTGCTGAAGGGAGCTGAGTGGCTGCCCCAGCGCCCGTGTCTCCGGAATGCCCGACCTGGGCACGCGAGGTCCACCCTGTCCACTGTGGCGAGGTCAACACACACACACACACACTTATAGAAATGCATACTGATTTGGTTGCGGTTTGCCACACGCCAGCCTAAGTAAACCGCTTAAGGTTCCAGCTAGAAAGTTAAAGTCTGAGGCCACCAAAACCTATAAGCACGAAAGCAAGCGGCGGCGACAGCGTGACGACGGGTCGTGCAGGTCTGAAAAGGCCCAAAGATCCAAGGTGAATCACCGCTGGGTTAGATGCGTACTGCCTACTGCAAAACACAGAAGTGGAACAGCTTGTCCATTAAGTAGGTTTCGCTCCAAGCAGTACGTCAATCCGGCGTCCCGGATTGATTTCACAGATGCAACACTGGCGTCTTCGTTGGTGCCAGTCCAGTGTGCATCCTGGCACCCCCTGCAGTGTTAGAACTAAAACCAAAACAATCCGAAGGGATCCCTGTGACTCCAAGGGGCACACACACTTAGATTGTTGCTCGCAGGAGCTAGTATCAGTACGAAGTCCCCCTTGACTTGACGAAACGGAAAGAAGCGCAAACCGCAAGGTGAAAAGTCCGTTCATTTGAAGGTGTTATAACAATTTGTCCTCAGCTCAGTAGACCTTTACTGCACAACACCGTAGTAGACAGCTTGTTCAACAGTTCCACAAAAAAGGATTAAAATTGCAGGTACGTCCAGCTGGCCAAGCTGGATATCCCACCAGATTGCATAGCTTTGTTAGACGCGGTCTGCAATCTGGTGCCGTGTCCCCCTGCTGCATTGAAGGGAAATTCGATGAGGTAATGCCAAAGGACAGTCTGACTAAAGCTGTCGTGAAAAGAGGTGTGAAATCCTTGGAAACCGGTGTTGACACACACAGAGGGCCGGATTCGGCGCACTCTGGATGGGCAGGATTGAAAGGACCGCGTGGAGAAGGGGTTCATGATACGCAAGCTTTTTGTAGTGCCTGGCGACAGCTGCGAAGATCATGCCCTTTTTGGACGTATAGGTCTGCTAGTTGAGCGAGCGCTCGCTCGACAGCCGAGGAGGGGTAGGTGTACTTGCGGATGAGATGGGCCCTGGAATGTAAGCCTGAAAGTCGTAGTCGTGTAGAACCAGCTGAAGCATGATCGCGGATTTTCCATGGAGCATCAGCTGGGATGTAGGAGATAGTCCGTTGGCGGAGGTCGACATCAAAGCCCAGTATAGGTGCATATCCTCCACTGGTTCAAGCTCCACTGGGTTGCCGTAGAAGTCTGGGTGGATCCACGTTTGGATGGCGAGGTGCTTGAGGAAGGTGCGGTTGAAGGCGATGAAGCGGTTGTCCACGTAGCGGTAGTAGACGAAGTGGATCTCGGTGTGGTCCGTCAATGAATGGTGAAGTTGACGCCGGGAATGCTCGATGAGGGTGATGGCGACATTGCACAGCGCAGGCGAGAGCTGAGAGCCAATCCCGGCTCAACGGACCTGCAGGAAATATAGATTGCATGCCTTGAAAATGCATGAATCTAGGGCTAGTGCTACAATAGTGGTGATGTCGCAGGTGTCCAGTGTGCGTTGTGTGGGGTGTTTGCGGCGGTGACGGCCAATGTGGGCGAGTTGTATGGGATTGCCGGTGGTGTGGGTGTCAACGGTGATGGTGTGAGTGTCAAAAGTGTGTTGCCAACGGTTCACTAAGCTTTGAACTGCTTGGGTCAGGCGGTCTTGAGGGACGGAGTTGAAAAAGCCCACCAGGTCATCGTTGACTGCATGAAGATCGACCGAGTCTGGTGCGTCATGGAGGTAGACGTGGAAGTGGTGCCATAATTGTGGGATGGAAAGCTGTCCTGGTGATTGAGGCATGAGCCGGTGGATCATAGTGTTGAGGACGTTGGAGGTGACGCGTAGCAGTGGTCCGTAATAGGATTTGAAGTAGGAAATGATGGCGCGGCCTTTCCTCCATTGTTTCTTGGCTTTCAAGTGGACTACTCCATAGGGCATGTTGAATTTGGCGGTGAAGCCCCATTTGCACTTCTGGCGGAAATGTGCTGGATAGGTCTGTTGGATGATGCTGGAAATGGTCTGATCGGTATCATCTGGCAGTGGTTGGAAAAGTTCTGGTGATTGCCATGTGGCCAAACAGCCGCGAAAATACATCTGGGGGCAAAAAAATGCGGAGATGTTGTAGTTCGTGGTCGGCATGGTGAAGAACTACTTTGTCTCCCAGAAATTTGGGCAGTTGTTTGATGGCTCTGGCAGTGAATCGATCTTCGTGTTGTAGGTGGAGGAGGTGGTTGCGCCAATGTGCGGTGAGAAAAGAATCAGCATAGTAGGATAGGGTGGTAGGAAGCCCGTGATGTCGTAGCCATTTGATGAGACTACGCCGAAAAGTGTCAAAGTAGCGTTGCTTTGTTGGAAAGAATGCGCTGTTCATGTTGGCATTGAGGAAGCGGCGGAGATGGGCTGGTAGTTGTAGGTCTGCCAAGGTGACAATCAAATGGTCATCCCTAGGACCAGTGTATTCGGGGAGAAGTAGGTTGCGAAGATGGTGGCATCCACAGGGAAGCTGGTCCAGCTGAGGGGGGGTTCCAAGCAAATCTTACCATCGGCGATGGTTGTGCAGGCGGCTTCGTAATGTGGGATGCGCGGCTTCCACACGACATGTGGGAAGATGGAGGGGAATGGCAAAGTGTTTGTGGTGGTTGAGAAGCTGGGCCAGCCATAGTTGAATGTCGGCTTGGAAGCTTGTGTGGGCCAGGAAGGGGATGGTTAAGGGAAGATTACTCTTGGGTGGGGTGAGGTCGCGATAGCTCAAGGCTTGGTTGAGAATGTGAATGGCTCGGCTGCGTCCTGGTTCTTCAAGGCTGGTGGCCATACGACGGACGGCATAGACCTCAAGGTCGGTGTATTTGCCGGATCGTAAGTGGCGGGCTGCGTCAAAGGATGCGTGTGTGTGTGTTTTGTGAGATCTCGTAGAACTGTGAGTGCATGTAACTTGTGGGAGGTGTGAAGAATGGGTTGGTTTGTGGAGTGTAGCCGCCGTCGCAGTCGTCGAAATAGTCTGTAGTGATTGGCAAGGCGTGGGAAGAAATGTGCTCGGTGTCTGCTGAACTGCCAGCCGCCTGCTTTGAATTTCAAGCGTTGGGAGATGTAAGGCCAGTTGAGGGTGGGTTGCCAGCGGGAGATGTAGAGGCGTTCGTGGATCCAGGCCTGATCGTAGTCTGGATACGTGGCGATGTGAATCGTGGAACGTGGAGAATTGGGTAATGGTGTTGGTTGCGTGCCAACAGCGGAGGGAGAGTTCGGCTGAGATAGGTGTGTTTTTGGACAATTGCTTGAGCTTGGCTCGACGATTGTGCTCCTTACCTGGTATGCCGATTGCGGTGGAGTCCACATAGCAATGTCCATGCTGGCGGTAACATCGTTGTGTGTCGTGCGAATTGAAAAAGAGCTTGATATAGACTGAATTGGGAGCAAGGAATTGGGAGAAAGTGCAGTTGTCTGGATGAAGCTGGAGCTGTTGGAAGTGAACGCCATTGTTTGGAACGGTAAGTGTTGGGTGGGAAATAGAATAGGGCTGCCAGGTGGAGTAGTCCGATAGCATCGATGGCTTCGGCTCGTTCAATGTAGATGGCATGATGTTGAATGTGGGCCAATGCTCTGTGGAGTGTGCGGATCTGGTGAAGTAGGGTGTTGGTGGGTCCTTGCCTGCTGAGTAAGGCCAGTCAACAGGCCACGGCGGCCCCAATGCCCACCAACTGTTCCAAGCTGAGGGTGAGCTTGGGAACTTTGAGCATCGGAATGCCATAGTGGACTGCAGCTTCTTAGAGTTGGGCTTCAGTGGCTCCAGATGCTTGGAGAAGCTTGATGATCTCCATAGCTGATTCTTGGATCACTTCGTCGACCTTTTTGGTCCATGTGTTGATGAACTGGACGGTCCATTTTGTAGGGACATCATCTTTCAATGATGGGTGCGCAGGCTGGAGCGCTTGGGAAAGGGGTCAGCGGTTGGGGATCGGCCGCAAGGGTTGGTGTAGCAGGTGCGGCTGAGGGAGGCGGGGCCGTGGGATTGGGGGAGCTTCTGGTGGGGAGATGGGGACCGGTACGCCGGAGAGGGGGACGCTGAGGTGAAAGCTGCGTGTGCCTGGGGCTTCTCTTTAGCTCGTTGGATCCGCCTCTTGGGCGCTGGAGCGTGATCACGTATGGCGGTCAAGATGATGTCCATCAGCGGTTGCATGAGGGCTCGAGCTTCCGTGGTTTTCGATGGAGGGGTGTTTCCGGCGGTGCGATGTAACGCTTCGGCTGTGGCATCCAGATCGATGCGCTGTTCACGAATCTGCTGAATCAAGTGTGTCAGGCAGACGGATTTTGCAATCGATCGAGTGGTCACCAAGCTGGTGTATTTCCGTTTGATAGGGAGCGGGTAGTCGGATGCGCCGTAGTATGCCAGCAACCAGGGAAATACCTGGAATGTAGGTGGCCCTGCCAGTTGACGGTTGCGGCTCCAAGCGGATGGCTGGATGCATTTGTAAAGCTTCTGTCCGCCGGAACCGTTGGCATCCCAATGGACATCAGTTTGCTTCCAGGCTTCTGGAATGGGGGGCTCTGGGTAGGGGGTGGTATCTGGTGGTGAGGGTGATGTGCCCTGAGCAGGCGCGGTGGTGTGGCGGCAGATGCGCGCAATGCCTGGCGATGGGTCCGTATGTGGTAGCTAACATTGTGTAGGTAGTGGGGCTAGAGCGCCATTCGTCCCATGGCTTGGGGTCTTTCTTGTGGGTCCCGAACGGGTGTCGTTGAAACCATGCGCGTTCATCTGTGTTGAGCAGTTCCTCCTCTTGTTCAGAATATGTCTGATCATCGATAGAATCTGGTGGCGGTGGCATGGACCAGGTTTGAGCCCGCTGTTTGAGGTGTAGTCGAGGTAGGATTTGTCTCATCCATCGGGGTAGTTTCCATGGACATAGCGCAAGAGAGCAAGAGCAGAAACTGGGAGGCAGCTTGAAGGGCAAATGGCTGCGGGGATAGGTGGGAAAGGAATAGGGCAAACCCGGGAGAGGGGTAGGAGGTGGAGGTGAGGATCGTGCATTGGCACCATTTTCCGAAGGTGATGGTGGTGAGTGTAAGTGAAACGAAACTGGCGGTGAAACAATGTGGACCGCGGTCGTAGATCATCGAGAGTGTCGCCATGGAGCAGAGGGGTCTGCAGAAGAGGTTGCGGGTGGAGCGCGATGAGTGGGCGGGTCAGGCATGGCTGTCATAGATGTATTGGTCGTCGCGTCTGATGTATAGAGGGTTGAACTGGAGCCGTGGTTGCCGATGACGATGGTCTCGCGAGGTAGTAGGCTGTGGTGTCAAAGTTGTAGGTGCAGCCCGAGGGGATGGAGCCGTAGGGCGGCGATGCATCAGCGAACGATCTGGATGAGCTGGACGTAGTGAAAGTGGTGGATTAGGTGCGCGAAATTTGCAGTTTGGAATCGAGTCAAAGTGGAGGAGCCAGATTACTGGTGGTCGAGGTTGATCTGGACGTTGTTTTGGAGCGGCTGGGCGGGATGGTGCGGAGATGAGAACGACTTCGTCGGAACTGGTATCATCCGTGGTGGGGTTGGGTGGAGTCCGGGATCTGGGGCGGGGAGGGTTGATTCTGGATGGCGAGGTGGGGTCTGGAGCCATAGGCGTTGAGTTTACGGTCGGGGAGGGGTTGGGCGCCGCAGGGTTGTTGGGTTGGGGTGGGGTACATGGACTTGCAATGGGCGGGGGAACGACAAAGTCGTGTTGGATGAGCATCGTGGTGAAGGCCTGCAGCGAGCTTCTGGTGTAAGGGCAGCGACTGCTTGCAAGGCTTGGTTCCATATAGAGCCAGTGGTGTGGTAGTCGAGGACGCCGCTGAGGTAGTGAGAGTTGGCGTCGGAGCAGAGGATGTACGATGGTGCAGTGCTGGTAGCCGCTTGGGCGGAGACTGTAGGTTCCGTCATGGCACTGTGAGGCGGTATGAAGGAGTATGATGTCGAGCTGAAACAGGCGGAGCTTGAGCAAGGAAATGCTGCGGATTGGGGGGTTCACAGAGGATGAGAATGGTGGGAAAGGTGGGGAAGTGGGTGAGAACAAGGAGGGGGAACAATGGATGTGGACAAAACGCATGATCCTCAAGGATGACAATCACGAGGCAACTGTCCTGTTTGACCGAATCGCCAGAAATGAAGTCCCGATCACAAGAAAAGCCGGACTGTGGGCTATCATAGTGCTGCGGCCTCAGGAGGGGAGTGTGGTAGTCGCCGATGAGTGACCTCCTGGGTGTGGTGCTGATGGAGATAAGCATATTGGAGAGGGTATGGCGTGTTGGCGTGGAGAGCGAGATGATCGTCGTGGGCTGCCGGGAGGTGTCGGGTAGTTCAGGAAGTACAGATTGCGCAAACGGTTCGTGATCATCTTTGAGAGGGGGCTGAGCATCATGGCCGGCAAGATCTGAAAAAGTCGGCGTCCCAGAAAGTTCGTCAGGAAGCTGTCGACGATAAGGGAGGATGACGAGTGTATCATTCTGGTCAGCGTTGGTGAGACTTGTAGTATAGTAGAACTCAGCGATGTGACTGTGGCCATGGCAGGTGGTGGGGGTAACTAGGAACAACTGGAGATCGGAACTTTGAGTGGGAATGTTGGATGAGGTAGTCGATTGGCATTGGTGGAAGGGAGACCGGGTGGGTTGGGATCAAAACGGGACATGGGCAGCGGCCGCTCGCAAAGACCTTTTTCTCGCAAAAATTCAGTATGTGGTAGTGACGAAAGGAGAGCTTCATGGAGGAGACTCTGTGAAACTGGCGACTGGATCTCGGCGTCCATGTGTAACTTGCCAAAGAGAGGCATGGAGGCCGGCGCGTCCAGCTGGGAGGCACTATGAGACGTGGTGCGGCTGGGGGTAGTCCATGGTGTAGAAGTGGAAGAGTCGTCTGTGCGAGCTGGTGGAGTGTGAGAGGGAGAGGTCGCGGACCAGGAGCATCGCCATGCTGTGGTGTTGGCTGGAGACGAATTGCATCACGTGGGAGTTCAGTAGGGGGGTTGTCTTCGCGGCAAATGGTGGTCAAGAGGTTCACGTAGAGCAGGTCCTGGGCGGGGGATCTCTTGAACTTGTCGAAGAGCTGTATCGACTCGATCTCGTAGTAGACCGAGTTCAAGGAGACTGATGCGGAATTCTCGAAAATGATGGTAAGCCTCTTAAGTGGGAAACTGATCTTGAGGAGGTACTGCTTGAAGGACAACAGGATGAAGCTGGATACATTCAATAATCCAAGAAAGCAAGTTGATGGTCCAATGAAGCCACATCATCTCGGGGCGGCGTACCGGACCTGGATCAAGTTGTCGCGGAGGCAAACGAGGCATGGTAAAGGTCCGGAAAGGAGGACCGCCGCGTTCACTGATGGTGGGAAAGCCGGGAAAGGACATGGTTCGTGCTTGAGAATGTCAAAATGGCTGAGGCATGATGGTAAAAAACGTGCAAGCGGGGAAATTGGTGGGGGGAGGAAAGGAAAGAGTGCATGAAGGCGATCCTGAACCATCGCAGCGCGTCTGCTTTTTTGATCTGCGGGATGTAGTGAGGGAGATTGAGCAAAACTGTGAGACTGAGGAAAATCAACTGGGCATAGTGTCTGAAGCAGGAATGGATGGACTGGACGGGTTCTGATCATTGGCAAGCGAATGTGCTGAAGGCACATTGGATGGATCAGGTGTGTCGAGATTAGGTGACTCGACCATGGCCGAAGGTTCCAGCAGTGTAGATGCCAAGGTGGTAGTACTCGTACGTAGAGGAGCCTGAGGTGGAGTGTCAGGAGGACTTGGCTCAGCAGAGGGTGGTGGGGCAATTGGACGAATTGTCGGCGATAGTAGAGTTGATGTTCTGACAATATCCTCAGGAGCGATGTTCTCCGCCGGTGGTGTAGTCGTGAAGTCCCCATCCTCGGTGGCTGTGAAAGTCTGGATAGCCAAGATTTCGGACCAGCTGCATTGAAGGGAAATCCGATGAGGTAATGCCAAACGACAGTCTGACTAAAGCTGTCGTGAAAAGAGGTGTGAAATCCTTGGAAACAGGTGTTGACACACACACACACACACACACGCCTCCTCAGGAGGCCAGAGGAGCTAAGGCCAGGACGAATGCGCATGCGCGCGCGCGGCAAAGACAAAAGGAAGAAGACATGAAAGGGGACAAGGCGGGACAAAGAAGTAGGTGGTTGCGATGAAAGGGGAACCAAGTGCACAGGGACAAACGATGAAAACCGCTCCATTGTAAAGACCTGGGCGACCTGAAACCTGTTTTAAAGTACGTGTAGATGTGCACATACACACTAAGGCCAGGACAGATGTGTACGCAAACGAAAAAAAAGGATGAGATGAAAAGACATGAAGACAGGGAGACATGAAAGAAATGGAGAGAAAAAAGGTGTGTGAAGGGGAAACACGATGAAAAACGGGGAACCAAATGAAGGGGACAGACACCAATGAAAGCCAAACCTCACTGAGAACCTGTTGCAAAGACTTCGTTTGAGTATAAGTACACTATGCACGAGGAAGGGAGGGGTGGGGAAAGAAGAGAGAAAGGAAGGAGAAAACGACGGTGTTCCCAGCTATGACGAAAGCATCCAGGGACACCGAGAGAGGGAGAGGAAGAAGGAAAGAGGAGGAGAGAGAAGGAAGAAGACAGGTGTTCCCAGCTACGAACAACCGTCCAGGGACACACCAAGAAGAGAGTGGTGTACCTGAGCTTGCACCAAAAAAAGCAAAGAAAGAAGAGGGAGGGTAGGTGGAGGAAAGGGGGTTAAGGTCCCGGCAGGTTCCAATGAACCTCAAAATGGCTTTGGTCGCTCTGATCGCGTTGAGGCATTAAGCCAGCTTAGACTGCTGCGGTCACGTAAAGGCATGAGCCAGCTTAGAATTCAATAATCCAGCAAATCTTGGCAAATAACTTTGGCCCGCTGGGCAGCAGGGGAGATAAAGACAAACCCCCGTTCAACGGGTCCACAGGGGTCACTCTTCGGGGCACCCCGGGCTCTCATGGGGAGAAACACACTTATAGAAGTGCATACTGGTTTGGTTGCGGTTTGCCACACGCCAGCCTAAGTAAGCCGCCTAAGGTTCCAGCTAGAAAGTTAAAGTCTGAGGCCTCCAAAACCTATAAACACGAAAGCGCGGCGGCGACACGGGGACGATGGGTCGCGCAGGTCTGTGGAGCTCAGAGGCTCAAAGATCCAAGGTGAATCACCGCTGGGTTAGACGCGTACTGCCTACTGCAAAACACAGAAGTGGAACAGCTTGTCCATTAAGTAGGTTTCGCTCCAAGCAGTACGTCAATCCGGCGAACCGGATTGATTTCACAGATGCAACACTGGCGTCTTCGTTGGTGCCAGTCCAGTGTGCATCCTGGCACCCCCTGCAGTGTTTGAACTAAAACCAAAACAATCCGAAGGGATCCCTGTGACTCCAAGGGGCACACACACACAAGTTTTCTCACCGAGCTCTGCTACCTTCCAAATCCTCTACCGCTCTTTTCCCTTTGGGGGCCATCCACCCCACCATCTACTATCTTCGCCAGGCAAAGTGACTGCACGTTCTTTTCAGTCATGTAATGCATTCCTCAGATCATCCGGGATCCCTTCCAAACATCTCCTGTTTCCATCTGGGTATCCCAGACAGCTCCACGAAGAAGGTCTGTGTTGCACCACAGGGAGCTGTGCTGCAAGACTCCGCCTCCGGAGGCAGTGAACCGTTAGATGTGGTTTTGTGCGTTTTGCTGCTGAACCGTTAGATGAGGCTTTGAAAAACCTGTCGTCCAGTGACAGTTGTACGATGTGACCCTGTGTTTCCTGTGTTTTCAAGATCCATGTAAGAAAAGCCTACCGCTGCAGGCTAAAGCAAAATGCTTGGAACTCTGGTGGCTCATCGTAGCAAACATAAACTGACCATGGATAAAAGCTAACTGGATCTACATCTACATGAAGCTGACTGTACATCAACCACCTGGCTCTCTAAAACAGCCAACCCAAACCTAAAAAGATGCTTCAGAAGCCGGCGAAGCATCTTCCAACGTTTTGGTGCTTCTTCTCTTCCGTCACTGGGCATCAATCCGGTGGGTGGGGGCGGTCCCAACCTGACAAGTGCAGCCAGAGGTGTCCGAAGTCACGACCTCAGGCTTTCCACCCGCCGCGTCGTCACAGGTCGTCGGCGCGGTCGTGACACGGAAGTGCGGTTCAGTGCGTTCCTACTTTGAGAGAACAGCATTGGATATGATAAATAAGATGATCGTGTGACGTGCCGGTGAGGGAAGAAACACATCGAAAAACAGAGGGTTAATCTGAGTGAGGACAGAAACATACAGAAAGCCTGGAAGCTCTTGAGATAAAAATGTGACCGTCGGGTCCCAAGCAACAGCACTTTCGATAAACATTTGTCCTCACTGATCTGTAACGAGCAAGCGCTTGGGGAGTTTTCCCCCAGGCGCTTCCAAGGAGCTCCTTCGCACTGCTGCTCCTTAGTCAGGCAGCCACAAAACCTATCCGTTCCTACCATACCAGCCGCTATGCTTTCCTGTGCAAATCTGGGTCGGCACGTCCGTCCCCTCTCTGTAGTCAAAACGCATCACCTCAGTAGAGTTGCCAGAGCAGCAATTTGCTCCACGTCCTCGTCCATAGGTCTGGTGATACTTCTGATGATTCTTCGTCATGAACTGGGTGTATCGGTTGCCGGTGATGATGCAGCAACGGTAGTTTTTGCTCTCATCCTTGACGCAAGCAAGGTCTCGATCATAGGTGTATTTGCCAGCACACTCGGTGTAGAAGGTCTTGCCTCGACATGGCTGTCCAATGGCAACCTTGCAGGTAAAGGTTTCCCGGTCACAAACCAAGCCTTCGGCACAACACTTTGATGACCAGCGCCCACGTTCGCGGCAAGGCTTAGCGGCGCAGGGTTGCCCCTTTTGGGGCAGGTCTTTATAGCCATCGGAATCCATCACCTGCTCATTGTTCCGGATAGACCAAGCGGCCACCACAAGGACAAGAATCAAGAATGGGCGCATGGCGCAAAGATTGTCAAACAGCGTCGGGCTAGCTTTGGTGTGCCAGTGCCTGGTCTTTGTGCACGCGTATGGAAAAGGCACTTCATCCACGGCTTGAAGTAGTATATGAATACAAGGAGTGCAGCCATCCAACATTAGTGTTCACCATGAAAGCGGAACCCGCCCTGTTTGTAAAGGAAAGTAGGAGCGATGCCCTTACTCCTTGTAGCTTCTTGTTACTAGTAGTAAGAATGCTACTAGTAGCAATGCCCTTTGTTACTAGTAGTGATGCCCTTGCTCCTACTAGCTTCTTGTTACTGGTCTTCCTTTCGGGGCCATGCCATCCACGTACTTTCTTTTTGCACCCCAATCCCACCGAGTGCCACACATCGCCATAGCACTGAAGAGCAAAGGTGCCAGCCTCAGGTTTGGGTGGCCTTCGCGCTTCGCCGATAGGTACAGTATCCTCCCTGAAACGATCGTGGAAGTGGATGGCATGCCCCCTGAAAGATGAATTTTCCCGTACAACGGGGTGCTCAGCTTCCATGACTGTTTGAGGGAGGGTAAGGATCCTTTTGACACACCCCAACAGCAAAGCCGAGCACGGCGTACTCCATTGAAGATGAGGAGGCGAAGGCATGCAAAGGCTACGGGGCTTGAAGGCTTATTGAAATGGTGCAGTTGGAATCATACTTCGTGACCCAAACTGCCAGGAGGCAGCTCTGAGTGTCTTAGCTGGCAAACCCTGGAAGCAAAAGCACTGTAACACGTCCAAAGGCCAAGTTCAACTTGTTGTCACTTCAAACGGTCCCAAAATATCTACGCACCACACCAATACAGCATTCATTTAGATCCCTCAGTCTATGTTAAGATCAGATCCTATTAACTCAGATCTCTGTTGATATGCTCAAATCCCTGCATTCCGACTCAGGCCACAACATCCCACCAAACAGGCGGGTCTCCCTTGTGGCGGTGTACCTTGGACGATGCCCTTGGCCCCCCGACGTAGTCGGGGTTCACATCTGCACACTGTGCCATCTCAGAGGTGTCGTGCGGCAAGTTCTGGCACGCGAAGGTGTCGCGCGCACGCGCGCAATGCGAAGAGACCGAACCGCAACTGTTTCGGGTGCTTGAAACAGGTTTAGGCTTGTGATGTTCCATCTGGTTGGTCGCGAGACCCACATTGCTGCGTGCGTTGGTTGAACATGTATATACTATCCTAGTAACTTCCTAAATATCTGTAAATCATTCACAAAACAGCATGCCGGTAGTCAATCCCAGGGAAATCACTCCCAGTCACATGTTTGAAGATATTCCAAAGCACCAAGCCAGGGTCACGGTCTGGTGTTCACATGACACTCAACCGGCCATGCTTTTCCCGATTTTTCCCGGCTTTCACATCCCTCTGTGTGCGCGAAGGACCAAGCGCGCACGGTACCTCACCGAACATCGCTGCGAGTAACGCGACCGTCCTGAGTAATGCTCACAGTCTTGCTCACATCGTAGAGCGTCACCACGGTGCTGTTGCCCACTTCGCATGGCAAGCCCCTGAAAATGACCCCGCCAGCTGGGAGGTGCGGGTCAAACAGCTTGGTGTGCAGCACCAAGCAGTTGCAGAGTTGGAAACCCATGTGAGGATGCCATGGCTGTTCTGCAAAAACAGTGCGTTGGTTGATCTGATGACGGAGGCAAGGGCCTAGGCAAGGTCCCAAACACAGGGGCCAAACGACATCCATCATCATCATCATCATCATCATCATCATCATCATCATCATCATCA